CGAGAGGAGAATGGAGGAGAAGGGATTGTGGTGTGACCATCCCCCCTGGGGGGTGATTTCTAGCTTTCTGTCTCTCTGTCTCTCTCTGTCTGCCTGGCAGGCGCACGCGCCCTATAGCAAAAACCTCTCCCCCCCAAAAAAAAAGAAATATTTTTATAGTAAAATGAAAGTTTTTCTTCAAAAAGTTTGATATTATGAAAAAAATTAAAGCTAGATGTCAATGGGTTTTTTTTGCACCCAAATAAACTTGTAATGTAATTCTTTTTTTTTTTTTTTGTAAATATTTGGAAAGCCTCTCATCCCTCTCATCATTTCCTATAGCTCTAACCCTTGTAAAAACCAGTAATGTCTCTTCTGACATTACTCTAAGGATGTTTCCCCTCCCTGCACATGAAATCATCCTTTCCTTTCACCTATTGTGCTCTTAGTAATGCTTTAAAATTTTGTCCTGAATTTCCTTAAACTTTTATTCCGCAAGTCAGCCTTTTTACTACAGTATTACTCTTGCTTTCCAGGGATAGCTTTCTGTCCCTGGAGTGAGTCTGGTTACTTGTTTACTTTCTCTCGGTCACAAAGACTCCCTCTCTCCCCTGCGGGCATTGCTCTGCAGTTTTCCCTTCATGCCCTCGGGCTTTCTCTCCTCATCTCCCTGTCATTTGTGGTATTTGTGTGACTGGAGCGATGGTTGGTTCGCTTTGTCTCTGTGCACTAGCTTGGGCACCGCTGCCTCTCCCCCGCCCTGTGCATTCCTTTTCAGTTGCCAGATGTCCTCAATCGCTGTGGCGTCTGCATTCCAGCCCGTTCCTCTTTGAGCAGCTCCTTTCTAACAGGGGCTCCTGCTGTTCGGTGATCTGAAGAGAAATCTCTGCCGGCAGGTGATGCGAGGGATGCACGTCAGATAGGGAACACGGAGAACGTAATGACAGGACAGATGGGCACCTGCACGCTGGAATTCTCTGACAGGTTTTTTATATGACCATTTCACTTTTTACAAGTAGTAAGGGGATCTTTGGAGAAGATTTCTGCACAGGCTGATATTTTTATAATCCATATGTGCAGTGGAATTTTAACCTAATAATCAGCCTGACCAAGTCCATAGCCCTTTGCCTTTGGGTCGTTGAAAAGTCATAACAAAAGCCATATTTTGCTATGCAAAAATGTGTCCTACTTTTTCTGATGACCCAATACAATGAGGCTCATAGTATTTATTTCACTTGGATTGCGAGGTCTGCCTGACTTACAACAACTGAAAAAAAAAATGTGGAAATCTATGAAAAATGTTCTGTAAATCACCAGGAGTGCATTTTTTTATTAATAAAAAAAACTACCGAGTATATAATTTAGGGATTACCTGTTTTTATATTTCAAACATTTTATCAACACAATAAAAATTACTCAGTGCTCAGCAATGAAGAAAAGGTAAATTTGACACCAGTTTGCTACAGAAAGCATTTCAGCATCTTAGGAGTCCTTCATTCACTATATAAACATCAACCACTCTTTGAAAAATGTAGAAGCCCAAGGGTTCTTTCAGTAGAACTTTTATTGATAGAACTTCATCAAAATATTGCTTCGTGTATGCTGTCAGGACAATATGGACAATATGAGATGGGATTCACCTGCAGACTATAATGAGAATGAGAATAAAATTTCCTCTCCACCCACGGCCCTGTTCCATCTGTCTAAAGTTAAAGGATGTGACCAGGGCAGCCAGTGCTGTCAGTGGAAAGAAACATTCACGTGATAGAAAGACCTAAGCAGTCTCATAATAAGGAAGGATGAACCTTGAAGTGTGTTGACAGGTCTTGGTGTCAGCTGAGAGAATTCTCCGAGGAACAAAAGGAGCCTTTTGTGTTTGTTAGAGAGACTGAGGAAAACAAGTGAGAAATAGAGCTATACCCCAGTGGCAGAAAATGTATAATTGATGGCAGCAGAAATAATAGAACAAATATTTTAGGCTCTATTTGAGAGCCTCTGTTTTTCTCTATTTGAGGGGAAAAAATTAGAAAATTACAAGGAGAAAGTAGAAAGAAAATATTGCAGAAGGGAAGTCCACTAAAATAAAGCATGTGGGGCAGGGTTTTATTTTTTACCTTGTCCTAAAAAATATATATAAAGATTTAGGGAGAAC